CACTATTGTTATCAAATTGATCCATATCTCCACTTTCTTCATTTAGTAAAGTAATTAACCTTAGGTCTCGTTTTGAAAATTCAGCAAGAATTTCTGGGGTAATACTTCCTTCCAGGATATATAAATGTTAGTAAACCTCTTGTCCAGTCAAATACTTCCTTCCAGGATATATAAATGGATTTAATGGAAATTGTTCTTGTTTAAACAGATTAATTTGCATTAATTATGAAGAATGCCCAGAAAGAATAAGCGCTTGCATTGCGAAATGGAATGAGGGGAATTTTAAACGCCATAGCAAAAAACCCCCAATATTCCATCTCCTTAATGCAGCTCACTGACGGCCTAGTGGCAATTAGCAACTCTTTCATAAATATCCTGGCAATTAAAGTCAAGCCGTTGAATATCACCCTGTTCGGGGGTGATCCGCTTGGAGACCATCAGAGTAGGTCTTGAACTTGAATCCGAGATACTGCACAAAATGGGGATGACTATCAGTGTGAGTAGGAGGCGTGTGTGATTGTGGTGGGAGTTTAGGAAGGTGATATTGAGGCCAGTTTGGGCGAGGAGCTTGGCAAGATTCAGCATAGAGTTTAAATGGCCTTCGATTGGGAAAGGAAAGATGAGTACACCAGGAGATTGTGGGTTTTCTCCCATTGTGGACATTACTCTGTAATTTGCTAGAGATCAGATTTGAAAGAACAATTAAAAGTAGATATTTATGATGAAAAAGAAAAACATATTTCTCAGGTTTTATGTGTGAATAATACAAAAAGATTATTCCTTAAAGCCCTTAAAAAACATTCCTAACTCATTTTTATGGAACTTATAGTAACAAGAGAGATAGAATAAATGATGCAGAAACACGGGAAACACAAAATTCATGAGAACTAATAAAAAAACCGACCAAAAAAAAAAAAAAATTCAAGCGGCTTTATTCTGATTTGTAGCAGCACATTCAACAATTCTTCTTCTTCATTATGATTTAGTTTGCTTTACTGAAGTGATGAAAAACCTGCAAACTTGAGACCATGCTAAATTTAGGAATTCTCAGATTGTGAGCTCATTTCCCTTATGTCATTTATCAGACGGTTCAAGTTGTCCCAGGAAGATCCACCTTCACTAATACTTTTTCTAGCCAAAGTAGCAAACTTATCAGCTGATTTCACAAACTCCTCCCTTCTGTCCACCATCAAATCTATAACCATCTTCTCAACGACCTTTCTTTCACATACATCTTTCATATCAAGCCCAATTTTCCAAACCTCACTCACAAACCGACTATTCACCGGTTGATCAGCAAAACTTGGCCAACATATCATGGGAATCCCAGCTGCTATACTCTCTATAGTTGAATTCCACCCACTGTGGGTTAAGAACCCACCGATTGCCCTATGGGCCAACACCTCCTCTTGTGGAGCCCAACCCACTATGTATCCTCTCTCTTTTGTCCCTTCCACAAGCTCCTTTCTGGTATCATCTTCAGCACCCACAGAACCCGGCCTAATAACCCACAAGAACCTTTGTTTACTGTTAACAAGCCCGTACCAGAATTCCATCAATTGATCTTTGCTAAAACTCCATTACTGCCGAAGCTCACATAGATTACAGATTGTGAAGGCTGTTTATCAAGCCATGACATGCAACTTTTGTCCACTTCCCAGAGACTGTTTGAAGATTGAGATGGTTTCATACCATTTGAGGCGGCAAGTCTTGCTTGGAGGTGCAAGTGGAGAGGTCCAACGGTGTAAATTTTGGGACACTTAGAGCGTATATGTGAAAGTATAGGTCCATCTAAGTCTTCAAACGTGTTTAACAGCAGACCCTCGACTTCAGATGACTTTTCAGTCACATTCGTAACAAATTGCAAAAACCCGTCGCTTATGTCATTGACTCTGCAAAAGCTGGGTAGATCTCGGCCACGGAGAAAATCTTCCATGCCTGGCACAGTCGTTAACAGACGATCCATGTCTTCATATCCTTCAATTGGTTATGCAATTAACTTTAGGACTGGTTGTTGAAAAATTAGAAAGAAATATAATTTTCATGTGAAGTTATACGTTGTGTTAATTTGATTGGAGAGTTTTAAGCCACAACAAAAAATACAAAATATATAATGGAAGGTTGAGCGTTCTATAATACCTTTCAAGGGCAACTCGCCTGCTTGGATTAGTTCTTGAACACAGAAATATGTCCAAAAAGAAGAGGCACTTGCAGTACGAAAATGAATTAGTGGAATTTTAAGCTCCTTAACTACGTCACTAACAAACCCCAAAATGCCATCTCCTATGATGCAGCTCACTGGCGGCCTAGTTTCAGTCAACATCTCTTTCAGAAATGTCCTGCCACTTAAATTCAAAGCATCAAAAACCTCCTTCGTACGGTCACTTGTTCGTGGGTGATCCTCTAGCAAAACGGGTGCGAATATCAGTGTAACGGAGGAGGCGTTTGTGGTTGTGGTCGGAACTTAGGAAGGTGATCTTGAGGCCAGCTAGGTTGAGGAGCTCGGCAAGCTTAAGCATGGAGTTTAAATGGCCTTGGGCTGGGAGAGGAAAGATTACTACATGAGGAGATTTTGGCTTCTCTTCCATTGTAGCTGTGTTGTGTTTTTTGCAAGAGATTCTTTTATGTTAGATAAAAGACAATCATGAGTCTGCTCGTTTGCAAACTACCTCATTTTTCTTGTTTGCTTCCCAATTTTATATGAAGAATACTATTTTAATATAAAAATTATTTATTCGCTTTTTTTTACTATTTTATCTTTTTAAATACAATTTTTTTATAAAAATTGTAAAATAAAAATAAAAAATTGATATATTTTCAAACAAATTTAAAGAGTATCACGCCTCCAACCAATCTCACAATCTTAAAAACCAGTTAACCGAACCGGTTGAGGCATTTTTCGAATCGAACCGGAAAACTAGTTTAAGCAAAAATCCAAACCGAACCGAATCAGTGTTTAAACTAATTTTAAACCGGTTAACCGATTTGAACAGAATTTTAAATAAAAAATATTAATCTTCTTTTTGAATAAGAAGTATTCCCGTCGAAGGCAATAATAGATTTGATTAACCTTGGAATGATGCCTTAATGGTCTGCAAAAACTCATAACAATAAGTTCTAAATACAATAACACAAGAAAACAAATTAATCAGAATTAGAGATCAGAACGAGAACCCACGTACCTCAAAAGTTTCGTTGACGATGAAGGAACTTCTAGAACTGAGATTAAGAGGAAGTCGTTTCTTTCCTCTCCATGCCAAAGAACTCAAGTTCAGTTGCAAGAAAGAGAGTATGAGAATGGAATTTGAATAGTTGAGAGAAAGAGGAGAAGGCAACTTAAATGGTAAAGTGAGAGTGAGAATGAAGAAGCATGAACCACGAGTTACACGTTTACTGATCTACACATGAGATGTAGAAATGAGAGAGAGAGACGCCTAAGGGTTGGGTTTGGTTTGACCGGTAAATGTAAGCTGCAAGTTGGGTTTGGCTTGACCGGTAAATGTAAGCTGCACGCTCTCCCATGTTCTTGACAATACTAAAAAGGATTTTTTTCTCCAATATTAAATATTACTTTTTTTTTTAACCGGTTTTAAAATCCGGTTTCACTTAACCGGTTTGAAAAAATCTATAAACCAAAACGGATAATCGGTCTATGAAATTTTAAAAATCGAAACCAAACCGGTTTACAAAAAAACCAAATTTTCGATTTGGTTTCGATCCGATTTTTCAGTCCAGTTTGGTTTTCAGACTTTTTTTCCCACCCTTATCCTTACAACCCCCAACTTGACAACTAAGTTGCCAATTGTCAAAACATGCTCTCATCACACCCTAGGCATCAAATGACTTTGATTAAACACGGACTATCATTTCTTAGGGACGAATGGTCGTTTTTTTATAAAGAATTATTTTTCCTTACCAATGGAACGGTTATTCCTTACTAATAGAATGATTATTCCTTATGAAAAGAATAATCAATCCTTATGAATGAACGATTATTTATATTTAGTCAAAGTTGTTAATTATGTTATAACGTTAGGGTTGGTGTGAGATTGAGTTATAGAGATACAATTTTTGTATACTCTATAATGGAGTTCCAACCACCGTGGGTCAAAATCCACCGGCTGACTCGTGGACCAACACCTCTTGTGGTGCCTCATGTCTCCTTCACGAGCTCCATTATGCTACCGTTGTCATGACCCACAGAGCCCGGCCTAATCACCGATAGGAACTTTTGTTTACTATTAACAAGCCCATACCACAACTCCGGGAATTGTTCTCTTTTCAATACTGCAGGACTGCCAAAGCTCACATAGACTACAGACTGCAAAAGCTGTTGATCAAGCAATGATATGCAACTTTTATCCTCCTCCCAGGGACTGCTTGAAGATTGAGATGATTTCATAATGTTGTATGAGGCATCTAGGCTTGCTTGGAGTTCCAACTGGAGAGGTCCGATGGTGTAGATTTTGGGGCACTTGGTGCGTATAAGTGACAGTATAGGTCCTTCTAAGTCTTCAAACGTGTTGAGAAGCACAACGTCGACTTCAGTTGACTTTAGAGGCGAATTCATAAGAAATTGGAAAATCCGGTCGTTTTGTGTCACTGTCTCTGAAATTGCTGGGGAGATCTCGGCCACGGATCTTTGCCTGGTACTGACGTTATGAGGCGATGCTTGTCTTTATATCCTTCAGTTAACAATGGAACTAACTTTAGAACTTGTTATTTAAAAACTAGTGAGAAATTTATTTGTGAACGTCTAAAAAATAATGGAAGAACGATCAATTGATTAATAATACGTGTTGAGAAGGTTCAGATTGCCAGAGAATTCTAAGATGGATCAGATTAAAGGAAGCCTGGAGAATGGTGTGCTTACTGTAAATGTGCCCAAACAGGAAGACAAGAAACCTGAGATTAAGGCTGTTGAGATTTCTGGCTAATTCATCTGCACTGGTATTAATTAAAAGTCTGGTAGAAAGCGTAAAATTTTGCTTCGAAATTGTCTCGTGATTTGCATTCAAATTTGTGTGAATAATACATTCCTAACTCCTAGAGATGGAATAATATGATACAGAAACACAAAACTGATGAGAACTAAGAAAAACATTCAAGCAGCTTTATTCCAATTTGAAGCAGCATATTCCACATTACTTGTTTCAACAATTCTTCTCCTTTCTTATTATTTAGAATTTGTTTAGTAGAAATGCAAACTTGATACATGCTAGCCTTAGGAACTATCAGATAGAATGTGCTTGTGAGCTCATATCCTTTATGTCATTTATCAGACGGTCCAAATTGCCCCAGGAACTTCCACCTTCGCTAATACTTTTTCTAGCCGAAGTAGCAAACTTATCAGCTGATTTCAGAAACTCCTCCCTTCTGTCCACCATCAAATCGTTAACCATCTTCTTTACAATCTTTCTATCACACACATCCTTCATATCGACCCCAATTTTCCACACCTCACTCACATACCTACTATTCACCTGTTGATCAGCTAAACATGGCCAACATATCATAGGAATCCCGGCTGCTATGCTCTCTAAAGTCGAGTTCCATCCACTATGGGTCAAGAACCCACCGATCGCCTTGTGGGCCAAGACCTCCTCTTGTGGAGCCCAACCCACCATGTATCCTCTTTCTTTAATCCCCTCCACAAGCTTCTTTGTGCTATCATCGTCACCACCCACAGAACCCGGCCTAACAACCCACAAGAACCTCTGTTTACTATTTACAAGCCCATACCAGAACTCCATCAATTGTTCTCTTGTAAATACTGTAAGAATTCCAAAGCTCACGTAGATTACAGATTGCGGAGGCTGTTTATCAAGCCATGACATGCAACTTTTGTCCACTTCCCAGAGACTGTTTGAAGATTGAGATGGTTTCATACCATTTGCCGTGGCAAGTCTTGTTTGGAGGTGCAAGTGGAGAGGTCCAATGGTGTAGATATTGGGACACTTGGTGCGTATATGTGATAGTACAGGTCCTTCTAAGTCTTCAAACGTGTTTAATAGCAGACCATCGACTTCAGATGACTTTACAGTCTCATTCATAACCAATTGCAAAAATCCGTCGTTTATGTCATTGGCTCTGCAAAAGCTGGGGAGATCTCTGCCACGGAGAAATTCTTCCATGCCTGGCACAGTTGTTAGCAGACGATCCATGCCTTCTTTTCCTACATTAGGAATAGTAGCTGAATAATTAGCTACAACTTTTCATGTAAATTAACTTCTATAAAAAGATGTAAGTTTCAACCCATATCAATAATTAATACAGAAACGAAATATATACAGTAATGAAAGGTGGAGTGTTTTACGATACCATTCAAAGGTAGCTCGCCTGCTTGGATAAGTTGAGGAATACAAAAGTAGGTCCAGAAAGAACAAGCACTTGCAGTACGAAAATGAATGAGTGGAATTTTATGCTTCTTAGCTACATCACTAAGAAACCCCAAAATTCCATCTCCTATTATACAGCTCACTGTCGGCCTTATATCAGTCAGCAACTCTTTCAGAAATGGCCCGCCACTTAAATTCGTGGCCTCGATTATCTCCCACGCTCGATCAACTGATCGAGGGTGATCCTCTGGGAGACCATCGGAGTAGGTCCTGAACTGGAATCCAGAATAATTAGCAAAACGAGCATGAATATCAGTGTAGCGTAGGAGGCGTTTTTGATTGTTGTCGGAGTTTAGGAAGGTGATATTGAGACCAGCTAGGCTGAGGAGCTCAGCGAGCTTAAGCATGGAGTTTATATGGCCTTGGACTGGGAGAGGAAAGATGATAACATGAGGAGAAAGTGGCTTTTCTTCCATTGAAGCAAGAGATTCCTTTATGTTCTGATTTCTACTTGAGGGAGATAGAAAATACAATCATTTTTTTCGGCCGGCAATGTCAGGAATCGTTTTTATACATTTGAATGAAGATGAGAATACGTGAATAAATATTTGGAATTTTTAGAGATGACTTGTAGTTGAGATCTTGAGGAGGACCATGCCCACACTTAATTCATTTATTTATTGCTTTCCAAAATGATTGATCTGACCCGAAATGTTGTGATATTTTGTCATAATATGTGGTTGTCTGTAGCTTATGGGAAGGAAAGTACTAAAATATATAATGATAAACATAAGAAAAAAAAATTGGGAGACCCATTTTGTCAAATATTGATGAAGAGATAGCAAATTTAAAAAAAAAAAAAAAAAAAAAAAATTGGGAGACCCATTTATCAAGGGAAAAAATAGCATAGAAGGTTCCACCGAGATTTGAACTCGGGTTACTGGATTCAGAGTCCAATGTCCTGACCACTAGACCATGGAACCGCCTGTTACAAACGTTAGGTTTGAGGTTTGACCATTTCACCTACATTGTTGAATGTTGGTATAAATAGGCCGAACGACATGTTCCCACCCAAAGTTTGCCGTAATGACAATTTACTACCCAAAAAGTTTTGAAAACGAAAATTATCCACTCTCCGTGAGAATATGTTAGTAAAATCCGTTAATTATATAATATGCCTAATGAAAAGACGAAAAAACCGTTATCTCTTCTTCTTCTCTTTTCTTCTTTCTCCTTTCTTCTTCTCTTTTCTTCTTTCTCCTTTCTTCTTCTTCTCTCTCCTCCTCTACCACCACCAATACCACCCAAATCTGGTGGCTATTGGCCGGATGCAATTCACCTGATGAATTTCGTCGTGATAACAATAATAACCATTTGCCGTAGTGAAGCTACAAGGCCCCAAAACACTATCATCAGTAATACCATCTCTACAGCTTAGAAAAGAGAAAGAATAAAAAGAAAAGAGGAGAAAAAGAAGAGAGTAGGATTTTTCGTCTTTTCACTATGTATATTTTATCAATTAACGGATTTTATTAACAGATTCTCATGGAAATTGGGTAATTGTCGTTTTCAAAGTTTTTTGGGTAGTAATGTTATTACACCAAACTACTACCCAAAAAACTTTGGTTGGGAATATGTCGTTCGGCCGTTATAAATATCTAGCTCTTAATAACTGAATGAGATTGGCTTATTTTCATTTTGGAAGCGTCTATCATAGCAGTTGAAGTCAGATTCAGGAATCGACTGAGAAGATATTTTGCTAGTTCCTTTCTTAATTGATCAGCAGGGTTATTTTACAATTTATCTGTTACAATAATAAGTGAATCCACTCGACCCAAAATCCCTTTTAAGCCTCTGAAAAAAACGATCCATTATGCACAAAAGTAACCAAATTGATGAGCTACAANGAGATAGCAAATTTAATAATAAGATAAACATAAAAATAAAAAAATAAAAAAAAATTGGGAGACCCATTTTGTCAAGGGAAAAAATAGCATAGAAGGTTCCACCGAGATGTGAACTCGGGTTACTGGATTCAGAGTCCAATGTCCTGACCACTAGCCATGGAACCGCCGGTTTGAGTTTTGACCATTTCACCTAGATTGTTCGTATAAATAGGCCGAACAACATCTTCCCACCCAAAGTTTGCCATAATGACAATTTACTACCCAAAAGTTTTGAAAATGACAATTATCCACTCTCCCTCAGAATATGTTAGTAAAATCAGTTAATTATATGATATACCTAATGAAAAGACGAAAAAACCGTTATCTCTTCTTCTTCTCTTTTCTTCTTTCTCCTTTCTTCTCTTTTCTTCTTCTTCATTCTCCTCCTCTACCACCACCAATACCACCTGATGAATTTCGTCATGATAACAATAATAACCATTTGCCGTAGTGAAGCTATAAGGCCCCAAAACTACCATTAGTAATACCATCTACATCTTATAAAAGAGAAAGAAGAAAAAGAAAAGAAAGAAGAAAAAGAAGAGAGTGGGGTTTTTCGTCTTTTCACCACGTATATTTTATCAATTAATGGATTTTATTAACAAATTCTCACAGAAAGTGGGTAATTATCATTTTCAAAGTTTTTTGGGTAGTAACGATATTACAGAAAACTTTGGGTGGAAATATGCCGTTCGGCCGTTATAAATATCTGGCTCTTAATAACTGAATGAGATTGGCTTTATTTTCATTTTGGAAGCGTCTATCATAGCAGTTGAAGTCAGATTCAGGAATCGACTGAGAAGATATTTTGCTAGTTCCTTTCTTAATTGAATCCACTTGTTATTTTACAATTTATCTGTTACAATAATCAGTGAATCCACTTGACCCAAAATCCCTTTTAAGCCTCTGAAAAAATGATCCATTATGCACAAAAGTAACCAAATTGATGAGCTACAACCAAGAATCGGGATGGCAATGGGTCAAGTTGGGACCGAGTACCCCTTGGCCCAGGCCCAAGCCCGACCTCATGACAAAGGTCCAAGGTTGGCTCGGGCCCGTCACGGGTATGATAGATAAAGCACAAGCATAGTTCAACGAACTATTTATAACCTCAGGCTCGGCTCAAGCTCGTTCATTTTTATAATGTGAATTTTTAAATATTAATAAATTTCAAATTTTTTTTATATTTTTAATCTAGAAACAATTTTTAAATATTAATTTATTTTTTATACTCACCAAATATATAAATAACTTTTCACAAAGTGCATACATCCATCCATCCATGTAAGGTTTGAGAAAAATAAGTATATATATATGTAGGATAATCTTATAATTAAATATATAATATAAGAATAATTTAGTATAATTTATACTAAAATTGTCGGGTCAGGCCAGGTTGAGCTTGAAGATATACCTTGGCCCAGCCTATATCCAAGATCAGGCCTTAAAATCAGGCATAGACCCAAACCCAAGCCTACAAACATCGGGTAAAGCCCGACTTGTACCAAAAAAAATATGGAGCCCATTGCCATCTCTGGCTACAAGCCTTCAAACAAACAGCGGAGAAAATCGACCTTCATATGATTGGAATCATTCAACTAAACATTAACTATTATTAAACAACTCTGCTCCTCTTGTTTTATTGGATTAATGAAAAAGTTTCAACCTTGGTGTATGCTAGCGGTAGCAGATACTTGCATCTTGCAACCAAACTTCAGCAAGAATGAGCTCTTGAGCTCATCAAACTAATGTCATTTATCAAGCGGTCCAAATTGCAATACGAGGATCCACCTTCATTGACACTTTTTCTAGCAGAATCAGCCATCTCAGAGCTTGATTTCTTGAACTCATCCTTCCTCTCCATCATCAGTTCATTAACCATCTTCTCAACAACCTTTCTATCACACACATCCTTCATATCAATCCCAATTTTCCACACTTCGCCAACAAATCGACTATTCACCTGCTGATCAGCGAAATACGGCCAACATAACATGGGCACTCCCGCCACAGTACTCTCCAAAGTTGAGTTCCATCCATTGTGAGTCAAAAACATAGCAACAGCCTCGTGGGCCAAGACCTCTTCTTGCGGAACCCAGCCAACCATGTACCCTCTCTCCTTGGTGGCCTCAACGAGCTCCTCGGGAATTTGATTCTCTCCATCTTTTCCCAAAATGGAATCAGGCCTAATGACCCATAAGAATCGTTTGTTACTATTCATAAGACCATGCCAAAACTCTAGCAATTGTTCTCTTGAGAGCATTGTAATGCTACCAAAGCTAACATAGATAACTGATTGCAGAGGTTGTTCGTTAAGCCATGAGATGCAGCTTCTGTCCACTTCCCAGAAACTGTTTGAGGGTTTTAAGGAAGTGTTTTCCGGGACTCTTGCTTTGAGGTGAGCGTTAAGGGGTCCTATGGTATAAATGTTTGGACATATACTGCGAATTTGGGACAGTATGGGTCCTTCCAGGTCCTCAAATGTGTTCAATATGAGACCATCTGCTCGAGGGGTTGAGCGAGTCTCGCTCATAAAGAGTTGGAGGGTTTTGTCCATGGGATCGTCAGCTCGACAGAAGCTCGGAAGATCGCGGCACCGGAGATAAGTTTCCATGCCAGGCACATTTTTTATCTGGCGGTCCATATCTTCAGTACCTTCAGGTTTAGTTTAGCATACGCAATACAAATCACTTTAAAAGTAATGAAAATAATATACCTTATAAACTCACTATATTCTTTAGACAACAAATTTAGTTGTGGAATTCAAAGTAAACAAGAGTCTAACCTTTGATAGGAAGCTCGCCGGCATCAATGACTTCACCGAGAGAGTAGTAAGCCCACAAAGCACAAGCTCCAATAGTTCGAAAATAAATGATCGGAATTCCCAAGTCCCTGGCTACGTCAATAGCGGAGCTCATAATTCCATCCGATATGATGCACTTCACTGGCGGCTTAATTTCATTCAGTAGCATCTCTTTCAAAAGAGGAGGAGTTACTGATTTCACTGAATGTAACACGTCCGCAGATCGATCTCCGGTTCGTGGGTGGTCCATTGGAAGACCATCTGTAATAGTCTTGAATTGAAACCCAGGTAAACGTTGCGTGTAACGGGAACAAACATCAGTGTGACGAACAAGACGGTCATGGTTGTACTCTGAGTTGAGAAAAGTAACTTTTATGCCGTCAACGCTGAGGAGCTCGGCGAGCTTGAGCATGGAGTTGACATGGCCTAAGGCTGGAATGGGAAAGATGAGAACATGAGGTGGATCTTTCTCCATCTCTATGTCAAATGTTAATTTCTCTGTCTGGTTTTGATTTCCCTTTCTATGGAGTTTATAATTCATATAGCTCCTGCGGGCTTGATATCACTTCGTTTTATTTTCTTTAATATTTTATTTCATTTGTCACAAGTTCTGTGTTGTTTAGTCATTCTCTAAAGTCTAATCGGTAATAGTTTATTATTGCATCAGTGCGATCACAATAGCTGCCATGTTGAAGCCAGAAACCTAGCTCTTAGAAGAAGTGCTATAATAGCTTTACAGCCTTTACTTTACCTCTGTCAAACCTCGAATATTCTTTGAACTATGTATGATTTTAAGTATTAAAATATATGATTTCAGAATCGTTGCATCTGATATTATTCGTTTAGTTTATTGTTAAACGATATATTTATGATCCCACCACCGCTGGAAGTTACGATATTAAAATGGCAAATAATGATATAAGATAGTTTTTCAAATTCTAATCATTTTAACCGTAAAAAAGTTAAAGAGAAAGATTTAATATGATTTTCCAATAAGAAATTCAACATAATCTCTTAAATTTGAGTATTCTTAAAGATAAAAGAACAAAAGAAGAATCTAACATTATTTTTTGAGTTCGAATTGTTAATAGAGGTGGTTATTTGAACTCTTACGAGATTAGTTGATTCGAACACCTCATCATCAAAAAATAAAATAAAAAATTATGATTTTGCTATCTGTTCTTTTGGCCTAGCATATTATCAGCTCCAATATTCTATGCATGATGGGATTTAGGTTTACATTCCCAACTTCTGTAAACCTTAACAAAATAAATTTAAGTCTCTAATTACACAGGTATTATATGATTCTGATAAACTGCATACCTTCAGGGAATAGCGTGTTAATTTCATACTCTAAATGGATACAATTGCTTGAAAATTGTAAGAGGAACAAAAGCTTCACCATTTCTACAAAGTTTGGATTTCTTGTCTTTCAGTTTACCAAAAATTACAAATAAAATAATGATAATAGTATTAGAATAATTTCGACATAGACCAGAAAGAATTAAAAGGACAAAATAAGAAATGAATATCATGTTTAATTAGAAAGGACCGGGAGGAGCTTGATAACCCAAGAATGGCCTTCCACAAGCAAAACCTTGAAGATTCCGATCGCATTCAACATGAACTGTATGTTTAATAGTGCGAAACAGATCTGAGAAAACTCCAAATCCAAACAGACCTCCAATAATAATCGCTACGCATATTACGCAAATGCAACAAGAGCAAAGCTGGGTTGGGAAGCAACACATCTTTCTTAACACTTTTGCTTTAATTTATTAATGAAATTTCGATATTGGAAGAGGCTGAAATTGAGAGAAGAATGAGTAAATTAAAGCACCGAGTCTCGATTTGGATTGGAACAAAGATTAGATTGAAAAGGTTGATGGGAATATATTTATGGGTTAATTATATCAATCAGAAAAAGGAAAATGATAAATTTGAAACGAACAAATTGATTCAATTCAAAGCTTTGAATGTCCAGTTCATTGTTTCCGTTTTTAGTTTCTATTAATAGAAACTAAAAACAGTCTATGAACCCAACTTAGTTGACGAGTTTTTGATAAAATAAATATTGTGAAAATTGGAGAATATATGGGTAATAAAAGAAATGTTGAGCAGTAATAATCTCATTTGAGAAGCTGTAAACTGATTTTATGGCGCAGCTCATAATTTTTTTTTAATTTTTTTAATTTTTTTTTTTTTGTTTTATCACCGGTATTCAAGCCACTTACGTGTACATCAACTAATCCTCAAGACCTATTAAACACTCTACAAATTTAATATTCTAGGTAAGCCACAAATTGGACACCTCTTACGCGCAGCTCATAATTTTTTTATTTTTTATTTTTATCACTGGTATCCAAGCCACTTACTTGCACCTTAACTAATCTCCAAAACCTATTAAACATCCTACAAACTTAATATTCTACGTAAGCCACAAATTGGACACCTCTTACACCCTACAAACTCAGTATTCCAAGTAAACTACAAATTAAATTTGTAATAGGTGACCATAAAATTTTAACTTAGATATTAATAAAAGAAGCAAACATTCTTTGTCCAAGGTTTTGGGATTGCTTTGTTCTCGTATTGTAACTAGAGGTGTTCAAAAGAACCGGTTGAAACCAGAACCGGTGGGTACCCTGGGTTTGGTTCTGATTCCTACCTAGAATCAATCGTGAATGGATAGGTTCCGATTCCAAATTTTTGGAACCGTTACTATGCAGTTCTGGTTCCTATAGTTAGGAACCGGAACTAGGAACCGAGACTAATATAAAATAAAATTAAAGATTATAGGGGTTAATAAAAACTTTTGTAGAAAAAGTAATATGAATACATTTATATTTATATTTCATAACATTTAAAGTAAGTTGGTTTAACTTTTGAGAATCTACCTTTAAAAAGTAATTGAGTTTGTAATTTTAAATTTATAATTTGTAATTTTATTTTTGTTAGCAAGTGTCAGGTGGGGGGGTATCGTAAGTTTCTAAGGGTTTTTTTTTTTTTTTTTTTTTTGTTGTGTCATTTTAAAAACTTTAGGGGGCCATGTGATTTTATAGGGTATCCAGAACCGGAACCGGAACAGTTATTATAGGTTTTGTTTCTAGATACCTAGGAACCGGAACCGTCAGTTCCGATTCCGATTCCTTTAAAAGTATAGGGTCCTCGGAACCGAACACCCCTAATTGTAACCATCTAAAACTAATTTTTAAATTAAATTAGGTAACATTGTAATTAAATTTGCGTATCTTAAATTAAATTATATGTTTTCCTTTTTAAATTGTTTTGGCTAATATACTCGTAAGATGGAGTGAGTCAAATTGGAGTAAACCAATATTGTAAAATCTCAGTCGGATTCAGATTTTGTTAATCTGCTCATTCGCTGAAGAGTTAAAAGATGAAACTTTTGATTATACAAAACAAAAGCTAGTTTATTACATTATAACAAAACTTTACATTCAGAAGCCCTTAGGTTGCCAGCGCATTACATAAAAGAACCAGAAACAAGATACTAAACAGAACACAAATTTCACAAAACATTTTCATCACCATTCAAGCCCAGAGGCACTCTTTTTTCTTTCTGTTTAGCTGGAGATTTCAATAGACTTGACCTCAGGTTTCTTCTCTTCCTGTTTCGGCACAGTCACAGTAAGTACGCCGTTCTCCATCTTAGCCTTGATCTGATCCATCTTAGCATTCTCCGGCAACCTGAACCTCCTCATAAACTTCCCACTGCTCCTCTCAAAGCGATGCCACTTATCATTCTTCTCCTCGTTCTCTCGGCTCCTCTCTCCACTTATCTGAAGAACACTTCCGTCTTCAACCTCGACTTTCACTTCCTCCTTCTTCAGCCCTGGAAGATCAGCCTGGAAGACGTGAGCTTCCGGGGTCTCCTTCCAGTCAATTATGGTGTTGGCAATGGCTGATGTGTCGCGCGCAGAGGAGGGTGCATTAGCAACCGTGGTGGTGAATGGGAAGCCTTCAAAAGGATCCCAAATGTCAAGAGAGAAAGGGTCGAACACGTTGCTCCTGCGGCCACCGAAAAGACTTAGAGCCATTGTTTAATTTCTAAGTTTTTCGTTTGTGTGTTATAAATTCTTGCTTGATTGGTGAAACTGAATGTACTAAGTGCAAAACCGAAACACAAGTGTCATCACTCGTCTTCCCGAGTCGGTAGCACTAACTCTTCTGCAACAAATCTTTACACGTGCCATTCTCAACTTCAACGGACTGAGATAATAACAGCGCATCAGATTTTAGCTCAATAGACCAAGAGAATAGAAGCCCATTAGTTTTAGCCCACCTATACGGATTCGGCTGTTCTTAAGCCCAATGATATTCTTTGGAGCAAGAGATAAATAGCCCATGTTTGTTTCACTCTTTTAAATTATTTTTATGTTATCCTGCATAGTTTAATACTTATGGGTATCATTATTCTAAAAATTAATCCAAATCAAATAAGATTTTTTTCTATTAAAAATGAAAAGAGGAGGACTTATTTTCTATTATCCTATTCTATTCAACTTAAAATAATTTTTCAACCATATTCAACTAAAAACAATTACCTTTCACTCATTCCAATCTGAAAATTAATCCACCCAAGACCACTATTGCCTGACAGCAACCATTATTGGCCGTTGGCGTCGGAACGACCCAAAACCAGTCGGATATGGCCACGTGCGCTAATATGGTCCCAGATTCACCATGGATTTGCTTAGAAACGGCTAGATCTGGTTGTTGATGACTACCAGATCTGGCTATTGATGACCACCTGATTTTGGTAGTAGATATGGCAGTTTTCTGCCAAATCCAAAATGGATTTGGCAAGAAAAGGTCATATCGGCACACGATCAGCCAAGTCAGTCGGTCGTGCACTATTCCGACGACTGTCGGTTGTCGTCCGACGGTGGTTGCCGATGACCGACAGTGGCTTGGGTGGGTGGGTAGGGGTATTTTTATTAATTTTTTAACTTTTATTGTAAGGGGTGTTTAGCTAAATTAGCAAATGTAAGAGATTAAAAAATAATCTAAATGTTTTCTAAAAATATACTAAACAACTTTTCAGCATTTTATTCAACTCTTATATAATTTTTAGATATTATACCAAACATATTTTCAGAATCCTATCTTATTCAATTTAATCCTAACTCAACTTAAAATAATTTTTCAAAATATTATTTTTCAAATAATCTACCAAAGAAGCACATAATCATTCAGGTTTTGTTTGGCTCACATTTGGGAATACTATTATTAGTATTCTCAATAAAAACAGTAAAATTGCAAAAACTCACAATATTATTAAATATTATTCAACTTTTTTTAAACCCCCTAAATTTGTTAATTTAATTAAATACCCCTAAATATTTTTTTAAAAATTGCAAAAAAACCCCAACAACCCACATTTACCAGATTCCGGCCACCACCACCGGAAGATGGCCGGAATCTGGTATAATTGCGCACTACCGATTGAATCTGGCCGGTAGTGTGCCAATCTAGCCTTTTTCGGCCAAATCCACGATGGATCTGGCCAGAAAATGCTAGATCTTTGGCCGTAGTCAGTCGTCAATGACGGCCAACACATGGTCGTCGTTAACCATCAACGACGGTCGTATCTTCGACCGTCGTTGACGAGCAAATACAGTCAGATCTAACCATAGATCTGGCTTGAAAAAGGCCATATCGGCGCACGACCAGCAAAATCCAGTCGGTCATGCGCCGATACAGCAACTCTGGCCACCCTCCGGCGGTGGTGGCCGACTATCCATATTTAATGGGTGAGATGAGGGTGTTTTTATTAACTTTTAATATTTTATTATAGGGGTGTTTAGTAAATAAACAAACATATGAGATATTTTTATTAATTTTCAAATCTTACATCGTAATACATGTCTAATTCAACTTTTTTTAACTTTTTTCAAAAAAACTTTTCTAAAAAATGTAAAAAAGTGAACCAAACAGAGCCTTATAATTCCAAAATCTAATAATCATTCATAATTCCAAAATCTACTCTTTTTTTACGGAACTTTAAGAGTTTTCTTGATAACAAAAAACTTTACTTCAATTGACATTGATATCAAAAACTCAAAACTTACAGATTTTCTAAATTTGACTAAAGAATAGGCATGTAATGTCATATAAAATATGTACACAATGAAAAGACATTTACAACTCTTCATCATCATCTTCAGAATCATCTGAATCTGCATCATCAAGGGCGACAACTTTGGAAACACTAACTCTAGTAGAAGTAGAAGCAGTTCGAATCTTGAATGGTAATCGCGCATTCTTTGTTACAATACCGCAGCCATCTTCCTGATCACTCTTCAGGTCTCCAGGAGGCAAGAAACAATCGATGGACAAACCCTTTATGTTAAAATCCACTTCTTCAATGGCCCAAATCTCTTCCATTCTCGTCCTGGAATGGGTTTCCGAGTTCTCTCCAAACCTGAACAAGGACACACAAGTCCTTCCAGCGTGTGCAATATTAATGCCATCAACAATTTTGTAGTCTTGGATCAATGACTCCATTGTAGTTTCCCAAAATATGCTTTCATTTTTTGCGGTTTTGATTCTCAGGAGGTGACAGTCTTCAAGTTGGACTAACAAGCCTGTTCTCTGGCTAAAGTATCCCCAAACTGTGTGACGGATTATCTCTACATTGCTAGTACTTCTTGCTCTCAGTGCTGAGGATTCAGCTTCAATTTTTAATACGAAACAATCTTCATCGTTGATCGTCTTCTCTCCAACGCAGATTGAATTGGAGAACAAATTTGCTGTGGACCTCGGATCAAGACCCTGTTCAGAATGAACCACTTATGAGTAATTTTCAATACAAATTCATGAAAAACGTGATTAGGTACTTGGTTAATTAGGCTAATCTCAAATGGAACAAAGCTAAACCTTGTACAAGACATAAAAAGTGATGGAAACTAACAATAGACTGGCCCAAAACTTTAATATAATTTTTTCTCCGGTTGTTGACCTTTTCAGTATGGTAGACCTAACAAACACCAGATAGTTGTTTGTTGGCCCCCAATCGTGGCGAGAGGTAAGAAATTGATAAATCTAGTGGGGCAAAGCTCAAAGTGAAATGGGTCAAGAAGTAAGAAATGGGGCAAAACAATTAGTTTTAAGTGAACATGGAATTCAGCCCCCATCTTTAGAAAAAGTGAAAGAATCCTGGAAAAAAGTTGGGGGTTTTAATAAGCTTTAACGACATGATCCAGCTATGCAAATTTGCCCGTAGAAACAGAATACTATGAAAATCAGTGAAAAGGGTTCCAACAAAAATAAAATATATCATTTAATCAAACACCTGAACTAGAAAATTTTAGGTGGGACTATTTGCACGGAATTGGTTGGTTTTAAAATGAATGATATCAACTTTATGTGTAACACAAGTATAATCAAGTAGTTTTGGCACGTTTAAGAAGGGAAATCTCCATCATTAAGACTGCATAATCATGTGATATTTGATCAAACGGTGAGAGAGAAAGAGGGTTAATTTAGTTACCTGCAGAAAACGTCTAAGAGGTCTAGGTGGACCCCTTGAAGCATGAGAACGATGCCACGGGGTCTGCCTCCAGGCAACCTTGCCGTCACTCCCGGCACTGATTTTGCAGCCTGAAACTACCAGCTCCAAGCACCAAAGCTCAGGCCTTTTCTGCCATAGCACAAATCCACCTATCTCCCCGCCACCACCATTCTTAAAGTTCCTCGCTTTCAACACCTTGTCGTTCAAACTCCCTTCCCCTGCTGAAAATTCTGAAGCCGCCATCTTCACCTTCCCCATAGCATACATGCTGTCCACAGAATTCAATACCTTCTCCCCCCCAACTGCTGCTATGTACTGCTTCACTATATATAGCGCCATTGAAGCATCCTGCATATTACAAAACACTTTTATAAGTTTCTTTCAATGCACTGTTAGCTAATATATAACATAAACGTAATAAGATTGTTTAAACATACAATGGGGTGGTCTTTGATGTTTTTATTAATGGGGTTGCGATCATCGGAGTGGATGGGAAGAGGGATCAATGGGGCACCAACGACACCAAGAAGAAGCTGGATCTCAGCATTTCGGCTACCAAAAAGAGCAGGCATGGAGGGAGAAGACGATGATTTTTCATTGTATGGCTTAATCCAACACTTCATATTCTGCCATGATCTGTGTGTGTTCTTGTTGGTAGTAAACATCTCTTCTGGGATTGGAACCTCCAGCACTGTCTCCAACCCATCTTCACGATCAAAATTTGGACAAAGTTTCCTCATCAGATACTCAAAACAAAGGACTCGAACAAAAAACAGAGAAGCGTTTTTGGTTAAAGTTTTTGGCACAGAAAGAAATGGAAGACTGGTTAAGAAGTATATGAGTTTTGGTTTGGTTGCTTTAGAGATTACTAAAGAGAGAACATAACATCATCACCAACCGACCATTGGACCCTTCTAACGTGGTCTGCTTTGCCTATGTCGTGGTTGCACGCTCGCTGTATTCACAGAAATTTTGTTTCTGCTTACTATTCTTATTGCCAGTTCCTGATCAGGTGTGTGCAGGTTTATGTGTACTCGTATGTCTTTTTAACCCAACGAATTTGGTCCATCCGATTTAAGTTGTTGTGGTTGATCTTATGTGATCATGATTTCAGTTTGTATTTGACTTGCAGTAAAAGTGTTATCAAATAGAGTTTCACCAATATGCATTCACTGAAATATGTTATCTTCAAAGATTACCTTACCTTACATTATCTTTATCAAAAAGCATTTATTCTGAACTCAAACTTTATATAATAATCTTATATATACATTGGATGAATATATTTTTAGTATAATTAATGATTAAAAAAAAATTTACATATTTGTTAATTTTAGAGATATTATTTTTATTGAAATTGCGTCCAAATTAATTAAATATGACAACCAAATTAAGGAAAATTTCAACTACAAAGCAAGAAAAATCTTTTTTCATTTTTGACAATTTTGAAATGCTTTGGTTTGACACTAGACAGCTACGAAATTCTTTAATTTTTCATTGACTTCATGAAATAATATTTCATCCTTTGCTGCATTCCACATTATTATAAGTATTCAATTTCAGTTACCTAACTCAATCTTCTATGACTTTTAACACATTTTTAGTGTACTGTATTCTCACGGAATAATCTTTTTCTTTGATAATCGCCCGTGGGTGACTGGGTGGAGCGATAGGGACTTTTAGATATACTTGAAGAGTTTATCCGATCATTAAGTTCAGGCCTCGAAGTATTAATCTCTGATTAATTAATGATAATTTAATTAATTAATTAATTACCCGTAAACAGGAAAAAGGGAAAAGATAAAAGTTGAAGAGGCAGAGCCGGCATGGAAGAAGCACTTTGTTGGGTTTAACATCAACAAATCTAACCCAAACTCAAAGGTTTAAATGGATAAGAACAATAACAATAATATCACCCTTTCATAATTTCACATTAAAATTAATTAATTACTCCATGCTTTACGCCGAACCATTTGACCGACATTTTTAAGAATAATAGTTAGTTAAGAAGACACTCAATCTAACGGTGTCGCTTTGGTTTTTCAAGGCAATGTATGTATCCATTTTAGGGTTTTTGAGTTAATTGAACTACAACGTGGATGTGGGGTTGCGACACGTGTGTACTTATATCCAATTAACAAGTTTTTGATATTATTTGTTTTATTGATTTGGTCGGGGGAATGAAAAGGGATAAATGAAACAAGAATTTGGAATTGATTATGGAATGCACGTTCTTGTTAATTAAAATTCTCATATAGTTCATGGGTTGGCTTTTGTCCACGAGTGATAACTTATAAATTATTCTGAGAGTATACTTGTTAAGTTGTTATGGGTGTTTTCTTGTTTAATGTTGTTCAAAGTGTTTTATAAAATTTTGTCTACCATATATAAAAAATAATATTTCACTAGTAAGTTAATTTTACACCTAATAAATCCAACATAAAATTGTTCTACTTATTATAATTTTTTTTTTTTTTAATGACCGAAGATGTATGTGTCAATTTGCACATAATTCAACTAATCTCTTGTCTAGGATCTTTAAACTACCAGTCGGATAAGAATTATAGTGGTCACCCTTATTAACAACTGTGAGGCTCGAACTCGAAAGACCATGTTCGATCCTCCTCTTGCTCTTTTACTATTAAGGAAACTCAAACTTAAGAGATCATATTAGATCATCTTTTACTATCATGCAATCAAACAGTGGTTTACTTATTATAAGTTACTCTTATAACTTCAACCAATATTTTGAATGCCTTATAATAAATAAAACCCTTTTAATATAGTACTTTCTAAAAATGTTTAGAAGGTCTTTGTAAAATTTCAAGTATTTTTACATAAAAACTTATGAAAATAATAAATATTTAAAATGCAAGTTGAAAAAGGCAAAGAGACATTAGACTTTGCACTATTATTATAATTTTGGACCCATGCCTTGAAGGACCCCCACATCGTGGAGCTCTGAATAAACCAACGGCAATCTGAATCTCTAATATATAAATTAAAAAAAAAAAAAAAATCAGATAAGAATCATAAAATATTTTTATTTACTCTCAGTCTATTTCTTTTCTTATTCTTTAAAATTATTATTATTATTATTTAATTTGAACAATATACACATACCTAAACGTTGGTGGTTGGGGTGATTACCCCCCAAAAGTCCAAAAGATATTAAAAGAAAAAATTGTCAATAATGTGAACTTCATTTAAATTTGAGTGACAATTGAATTAACAAAAAAATTATTTAAGAAATTACAATATATAATTTTTATTAATTTGATTTCTATATATTTTTCTTTGATATAGAGAAGAAGTGACAAAAGCTTTACCATGTTAAAATTATTATACAAAACAATTAATTAATAACCACCTATGAATAGTCAGGTGGGATGATAGAAACCCTTAGATGTATTATTTAAGAAGTTTTGAGTTCGATTTCCTTCGATTACTAATAGGGATGACTACTAAGGTTTATCCAATCGTTAACTTTAGGGTCTTAGAAGCATGGTTGTTAGTATCCTACGATACTTGATACGTATCATACGATACGGTTTGATACAGGTCACAAATGATACGTATCAGAAAATATATCTTAAACCTTTCGATACGTTGATATGTATCCTACGATACAATACGTATTCATTTGTATCCTTAAAAATGTCGATATAAATCGATACGACTTTATTAATTTGGGTCAAAGGCCCAAAAATTTTTTCGAGTCGAAACCGAGTCACCCAACCCGATTCACTAAAACCTATCCAAATTTACACATTTTGTATGGAGAAAATAAAGAGGAATATGTGTTACCCATTTTGCATGATAATAATAATATAAGTGGAGATATAGATATTGACATTAATTTTGAAAATGATATGAATGGTTGAAAGAAAATAATATAGATTCTTAATTTTGTAATTAATTTTTATTATGTAATACTATAATTTAAAGCCAATAATACCATAAAATTCTTTAATTAATCTTAGGGATGATATTAATTTTTAGAAAATTTTGATTATTTTATTAATTTTTTTAAAAAAGACGTATCCTACGATATGATACGATACACGATTCAAAAAATTAGGTTTTCGATATATGATACGATACTTGATTTGACAACCATGCTTAGGAGATTAATTAAAGTTCATGTAAACTGGTCCAAACATTTTTAATCATAAAAAATAAAAAAATAATTAAATAATGTGGGTCGTTAAGAAGGAGTAAATGACCCAAAATATGAGGAAGGGTTTTTGGCTTTTTGAAAACCTAAAAAGCATATAAATAAATAACTACAAAATGACCATCAATAAATCCATTTATTTAATATATAAAATGTATAATTATGAGAATAGCACGCGCCTCCACTCGTGTGGGGTATAATAATGCCAAAAATATATTATTTGTTTAAACAACAATGAGTGATCGCCCACTTAGTCTTCATTGGAAAAAATAAAAAATAATTAAACGACAATTAATATCAATTTTGCAGCCAATTACACATTTATTAACATAATTAATGAGAATATTTATGATATATTAAGAAGGTATTTGTCTAAGCTTATAAACTGGCCAAACTTGCTTATAAGCTCTAAAATTAAGTTGACCTGTTTGTTTATAATCTTTTTGAGCTTATAAGCCAAAAAAAATAAGTTAAGGGAGAGGTACTTTTTTTTTTTTTTTGTTTTGCTTATAGCACTCGCTTATAAGCTAGTTTGACCAAGTATATTACCACATTATCCTTATTTAATTTTAAAATTCTTGTATACCCTTATTTAATGTAGTACCCCTTTTATTCATTTTATAATAAAATGTACTTATAGCCACATTTTACCAAACACGTCAACTACTTATCAGTCACTTATAAGTACTTTACCAAACACGTAATTGCTTAAAATTTCAATGCTTATAACTAAAATTAACTTATAAGTACTTGTTACTTATAAGCTAATTTTCATAAGCTCAGACAAACACTCCCTAAAAGCATTTTTGATACCTTTGTTTGACAAATAATTTCATTATTAACAACCGAAAACAAGTGTAAAAATTCAGATGAAAATGCAGCACTAATCACGGCAGGATTATCGCGCAACTCTGTATTGACCACGTATCAAATTATGAATCTAATTATATTGCTAAACCTGTAATTATTTGTCTTCATCCAACCTAATCACTTTAGCACCAATCATGCATCACATTTTTTGTTTCCTTCCCCATTAATCTTTTTAATTATTATTATTTTTTTTAGTTTTGGTAGATGGTGTTAGATTAGATTTTATTTAAGAACATGGGAGCTCATTATAATATAATTAAGTTAATATGTATATTGATATTGACAATGTGGATGATGATGGTTAAAATTGATGAACCTCCAAAAATGTTATCATTATTGGTATACCTAATCTGATATTTCCAATAGATTTCTTCAAACTAAGTCTAATCTTGTCATGATTTTCATCTTGATTTTGGAAATCATCAAACTTCCATTAGTGGTAATTTTGATATTAAAGAGAAACCTCATTTTTAGATTTGTTTTAAGATTCATTGTTCTAATAACAGAGTGTATTCAGAGATGGACCCCAATTTTTTTTTTTTTTTTTTTTCCCTTAATGAACGGGATGGTTTTTGTTAGTTTACGCGCACCTCAACTAATCTTTCAGAATTCTGAAACTACCGACAAGTAAAAGCTTCAATGGCTAACCCTATTAACAACCAAGAAAAGATTTAAACTCAGGACCTGTTGAATAATACACCAAAAAGATTCTATCGAATCACTCGACTACCCAGAGGTAATTGTTGAGATCTCAACTTTGAAAGTGTAGGATTACTCAAATTAAACTACGACATGAATAGAAGCATTTCCATCAGTTGAGTTTTTTTAATTTTATCATTTTAAGAGTTTATAGTAGGCCTTAGTCTCTGAACAAAGTCACAAACAACCAGCTTCACGATATTTGCTGGGAACTGGCCATTGATTCACATCATCAAACGTAAGAACAAAAATTTGAAGAAGATAGAGAAGACTACATCATGATACCAGTGATGCAAAGCAAGCAAAATACAATAGCTCATTGATACTATTTTGGCCCACATAAAATAAGAACAATAAGATCATAAGTAATACAAGAGTCTGTTCAAACTTGACAGCGATATGAACAGCATGAGGATAGGAAATAAAATAACTCGGCGGCGAATGTAGAGACAATTGGTACTGAGGATGGTACCTGTCTCTTTGCTACAGGATTTCATGATGAGGGTATGTTGAAATGAAACAGCCAAGAGATTACGAAGGCGAAGACCATACAAGCTAGCAGGAAATTCAGGAACCGGTGGCCCTGCCAGAAGTTTCGTGTGTCAGCTTGGTGTACATGTGCAGTTGCTGCTGGTGTAGCATCACTTGAATCATTCCACTGCTCCACTAAGTCAGCTTCATTTGCACCAGCAACGTTGCGTGCTGTTGATCCACAGATCTCACAGGTTCTGCAATCAGATAATTTGAAGGAAGATCATTGTAATTGTTTACAGAAAATTTGCAGCCCCAAAAACAGTATCTATAAATGAAACATTTGACTTGAATTAAAAAACTATTCTCAGATTGGCTTTTGAAGCTAAAACATGTCAAACTTTTCATTGCCGTAACTCAGTATATAATGTTTGGTACAATGGTAATGGATGTCTATACAAATCATCTATATTGATTCTGTTTTCGACCTACTAATTCAATATTCGAAATCCCCAAAAACTAAATGAAAGGAGCATTAGAAAGTTCAAACACTTGTTGAACAACGGCAAACCAAAGATGTATAAATAATTGGTTAGCCTAAACAGAAGACCTAGTTAGAGCGCCAGCCAAAATGCTCTGTTTCTAGTTTCTACAAGTAGTCAATTAGCAGACCAACGGGTACGAAGTTCCTGAACTGGATTCTTAGAAATATTTAAAAAATTAGAAAATTTGTGCACATATAATCTATATAGGTGATTGTACTTGTGTATATATTCAACTGCAATTGCTAAACACAAAATCAAATCCTTGACTTAATTTTCCCAGTTTACAATTTTTGTCTACTATACATGATCAAATTATGTCAACTACAACGACATAAAAAGTGATCAAGATAGTGAAATTTTTAGACTAATTACATTACATAGTTTAAGTGCAGAACAAGTCTCAATTGACATGCCACTATAATTCCAGTCTGTCAACTGTAACTTTTTCTAATCTAGTTATCTACCATTGACTCAGCAACCCACTTCGATTGTTCATTTTTCTTCAGCAGACGACATACCATCACACAATGGACTTAAAGTTGGCAAATTGATATATATTAGTAATGGTTAAGGCAACTGAGAAGGAATATTTTACTCAAAATGCATGCATTCTGATAACTGGGTGCCCAAATTCAAATATTCAGAGTTTGAATTATTAGTGTGAAAGAGAAATGATACTTTAATAAAAAATAATAACGTAAGTGTAAAGTTGTGGTTGAAGTTTGAACCTCAGTATAATAGAAGAAACAGAAACTAACAAAGGAAACAGAGACTTCACGGCGAAGGATCATTTGTATTATTGGAATGACAAGCAAAAACATCCTGGTGATTCCATCTTTAGCTTAATAACTACTTTGATTCTCTTTGTTTATAAAGTCTGCCATTAACTTCCTCTTTACTCTTAACAAAGTAGAGATTTTATTCTTACTTAAGTTCCCATTATCATTATGTTCATGAACTGTTCACCATATATTCCTCCAACTTTACTAAACCAAAAAACACCAAAGTCAAAACCTTCAAAGAAGATTTACACAATCCACCCCACTAAAAACAAATTCATGACAATTAACAACCAAATTGCAAGGCAACAAATTCAAGATACACATAAACAACATTTCATCACATAATCTCATTCATAGAAATCTTAAAACATACAAAACTACAAAGATCATTAATTATTGATTTACTTACTTGTTTCCTTTAATCTTGAACCAAGCTTCTGCACAGTGTTTATGAGCAGCAGCCAAATCATCCTTGCATGAACAACCCAACTCAATTGGAAGGCCCGATTCTTGATTAGATGCATCCATGCTCAGATGACAAATCCTACAATCCCTCTCAACTTTTGCCAAGTGTAGTTTACTCTCACTCACTACACCACATTCTAGATCCACCTCTGACACAGAGGATCTTCTCTCTTTAATCTCAGTACTACTACCAGACTTACTGGAACAAGGAGAAGATGAACACCTGTGCTCCTCATTATCTACAACATCAACAACAACATGGGCTTGGGGTTGGGGTTGGGGCTGGGGCTGGGGCTGGGGCTGGGGTTGGGGTTGGGGTTGGGGTTGCAAAGATTCCATCTTTAATACCCTTATAGTAAATCTTCATGAAATGTGTTTTCGAGACACAGTTCATCAATAATGCCCACAAAAGGTTGATGAAGAAGCTCTCTGCTTCCTCCTCACCTCAACTTTAAGTAAAGCAAAAATAATGTGATTTGTTTGCCTTCAGATTTTTCAACAAACTAAGTAACTGTAGTGTGGTAGTTGATCTTTCACTCTCTCTCTCCCTTTCTCTCTCTCTCTTTCTCCAGTGTAGTGTCAGTTTAGGACAGAGCTTGGAAGAAGAGAGAGAAAGATCAAAAAACAAGATCTCACGAACATGAAGTGAAGTGAACAAATCCCATTTCTCGTGAAACTGAAGTTTTATTTTCTGAATAATAACATAAATTAGATATTTTTATAATTTATTTCATATTCTGAGACGACTAAAGAGGATAAAAATGATTTAAGGGATGATGATATTGATTGAGATGACTTAAATAATTGATTGATTTTTTTTTTTTTTTTTAATTTCTTGATACATACAAGAAAAATTATGGCAAAAGCAGATTTTTGCTTGTCTACTTTAGTGCTTTTTGGTGAGTACTGTTTGTTATTGCGTCATAGAATGGACCAGCTCAGAGATTATTAGATTATGGTCAAGAATGACCTTGCTTTATGAATAAAATAAATAGTTAGACAAGGGTAATGTGGGGAATAATGAGAAAATAAATAAAAGTATGTGTTTAATTGATTATAATTTTATTCTTATCATCATCTTTATAAAAAGCAGAGAGAATAAAACTAAATTAAACAGTAGATGGCTGCTGCATAATTGCACATGATTTATGAGGAAAGCTGAGAATTAAATTAAATTAACCTAAGTGTAATTTAGGGAGAGTCCTAATTTTTACTTTTGGCCAAAATTGTAATCTAGAAACTGACATTTTAGCAGGAGACATGGATCAACTTACATTATTTTTTATAATATATTATAAAAACAAATAGTAATAGAATTAGAGGTCCTACCAGCCACCTTGGATTCTGCTCAACAATGCTTCTGCAGTTCTTCTATTTTTTTCTATTTGTTGTAAAGAATTTTTTTTTCATATAAATATTTAAATGTACAAATATGGAGGGAGTTTTAAATTTGGCGTTGTTAATAAACTTGAAAATACTAGCTTGGCCAAAATTAATTAAAATTTGGCTAATATATTTAGATATTGATGAAAAAAGGAATAAAGATGAAACAAAAAGTCAATGTTCTTGGGTAGGGATGAAAAAATTAATTACAGATAAGACAAATATTTAATTAAAATGTATCAACATTTACATTTGAAGTTAATTACTTAGCAATTCGAGGTACTAAGTATGCAATGTGTATAATATTTTTAACATGAAAAGAACCATTCCTACCTTTCCTTATTTTTTCTTTTTTTCATAATGGCTGAAAAGGGTATCAATATATCAACCGAGTCTCCACTCCTTTTAAGAAGATACCTTCACTCTGCTAGAAGGGATTTGTAATTTGCTTTAAATTGCCATTTGATGGCAATTAAACTTTAAGTTTATTGCTTTCGGTAAAATTTGATTAATTTTTTTCAAGTTTAATGCTAAACATTTCTAATTCTGCATATTGCAAATCAAACAAAAAAAGTTATATGTTGAATACGTGATAGTTACGAGTTGAATACGTGATTAGAGATGGGCACGAACCCGGTCGAAACCAGGGACCCCTGTCTCTGACCCCAACCCGAAAGTGCAAGGGGATTTCTTGGTCTCGGCCCGAAGCCCAAACAAAGAATTCGGGGAATACCCGAATTAGGCCCAATTCCCAAACGGTGAATTTTGGGAATCTCCGAGTTTTGTATCCTTGAGCCTACCTTATCATTTTCTCCAAATTATAATGAATATTAAATTTATAATGTACATATTAAAAATAATACATATATATATTTATAATGGTTTATTATATTTAATCTATTATTATTTATTACTCATTTATATATGGTTTCATAAAATGTTCACACAATTATAATTTGGTTTTGTATAATTTATGGATTCATTGATTGATTTTCAACTATGCAAATTAATATAGTATTAAATGGTTAAAATTAAACCTTACTACAAATACTAATAATAATAATAATATTATTATTATTATATTTGGGCCAAGTCGGGGCGGGGACAATTTGGGGCCCGGGCGAGGCGAGACCAATCCCATCCTCTAATTCGGGGACTGATTTTCAGCCTGGACTCGACCTGAACCCCGAACCATTCAAGAAAACTCTGCCCCGTTTGGGTCGGGTCCCCCATATGGCGAGGATTATGCCCATCCCTATACATGATAGTTAGGTGTTGAATACATGATAGTTACAAGCTAAATACGTGATAGTTACGTGCTGAATATGTGATAGTTATATGCCAATTATATAATAATTTGATCAAATAAATTAATCAACATACTCTTAAAACACTTCCAAATAAATTAATCAACATACTCTGCTAGAAGGGATTTGTAATTTGCTTTAAATTGCCATTTGATGGCAATTAAACTTTAAGTTTATTGCTTTTGGTAAAATTTGATTAAATTTTTTCAAGTTTAATGCTAAACATTTCTAATCGCATTATTGCAAATCAAACAAAAAAAGTTATGTGTTGAATACGTGATAGTTACGAGCTTAATACGTGATTAGGGATGGCACGACCTGGTCGAAGCCGGGGACCCCTGTCTCGGACCCCAACCCGAAAGCGCAAGGGGTTTCTTGGTCTTGGCCCGAAGCCAAACAAAGAATGCGGGAATACCGAATTAGGCCAATCCCCAAACGGGGAATTTGGGAATCTCCGATTTTTGTATCCTTAGCCTACCTATCATTTTTTTCAAATTATAATGAATATGAATTATAAGTACATATTAAAATAATTATTATATATATATATATATATCAAAATAATGAATATGAATTTATAATGTAATATTAAAAATAATATCTATTATATATTTAATGTATTACAAAATTTATAATGATTTATTATATTTATCTATATTATTTATTACTATTTTTATATGGTTTCATAAAATGTTCACACAATATAAATGCTCTTGTATAATTTTGGATTGATTGATGATTTCATATGCAAATTAATATAGGATTAATGGTTAAAATTAAACCTTACTACAAATAATAATAATATTATTATTATATTGGGCCAAGTCGGGGGTGGGGAAATTTGGGGCCCGGCAGGGAGAGACCAATCCCATCCCCTAATTCGGGATGATTTTCAGCCTGGGCTCGACCTAACCCCGAACCATTCAGGAAACTTCGCCCCGTTTGGGTCGGTCCCCATATGGCGGGGATTATGCCATCCCTATACATGGTAGTAGGTGTTGAATACATGATAGTTACAAGCTAAATACGGATAGTTACGTGCTGAATATGTGATAGTTATGTGCCAATTATATAATAATTTGATCAAATAAATTAATCAACATACTCTTAAAACACTTCAAATAAATTAATCAACATACTCTCCCTGAAAAAAAAAAAAAAAAAAAAAAAAAAAAAGAACTAGCTTATATCTATTGAAACAAAACAGATTGTGCATATTATGGTCAAAATATGATAGTAGAAGTTACAAGATAATGAAAACGTACACAAAATGAACTCATAAGTGATGCATAACAAACTTTAGGAAACCCCCATTAAGACAAGGAAATTAAAAGATGGATATATAACTAATCTCAGCATCAAAGAAAACGATAGAAATGTCTGATCTTTTAGTTGATTTATATTGTTGTACATATAGGATTAAAAAAATCCAAAGTTGTTAAATAAACAGTTAAAGATGACCACCACCGAGTAGTTGTTGCTCTTTGAGGGGTTTGTTGCACTTCTGGTGGGTCTTGTGTCTACCACCATGACCATGACCCTAACCCTGACCCCTAACACCACGTCCACGACCCTTACCCCCATGACCACTGCCCCTTCCGCCTTCACCACCATCATTACCTTTCGTCAACACCATCATTGCCTCCGTTAGCACCATCATTGCCAGCTGGTGGAGTAGCATTCAAATCGATCAAAAAAGCATCATTGTCTCAGTTTCTCATCAATTCCTTAATTACGTTAGTTGTTGCCGTTCGAACTCTAATAGACTATGTCTTTGACATTCCTTGATATCCAAGTTGACCTAGGATAAGAAAGCATACTGTAAATTACAAGAACAGTATAACTTTTTGCATCAAATTTCAAAAAACAACCATGAATGCTTTAAAAACATCTTTTGCAAAGGCAATAGGTTCTAACTGCGGCTTCTAAAACTACTTTTGCAAACTAGGTGTTTTTAAACCAATTATATACCGAAGCTACAAGGACTTCAGACATCTTTGCTAAAGTTAGATGGGTCAAAATTACATTCAATATGATTTTTAGTGTGATTATAGCTCATGTAAGTTGAGCAATTAACATTTATTTATATATTGATTTACATAGTTCAAAATTTTAATTTCATCTTTGATCATGTAAATTCAAAAATCATTGGATTATGATATACAATTATATTATTTCTCAACTATCCATNTAGATGGGTCAAAATTACATTCAATATGATTTTTAGTGTGATAATAGCTCATGTAAGTTGAGCAATTAACATTTATTTATATATTGATTTACATAGTTCAAAATTTTAATTTCATCTTTGATCATGTAAATTCAAAGATCATTGGATTATGATATACAATTACATTATTTCTCGACTATCCATATGCTTTCTAAATTTTCATTATCTAGTAAATTCGGTCTAAGATCAACACTGTATGTCAAATTAGGCACATAAACCTTCTTCCTTTGTTGGCTCATATATCTCAACTTAACTATCATTTACTTATGTACGGATTTATGAAAAAGGAAAGTTTGCAAGATATTCTGAATGATGTTTCTTGAGGGAACGAAGAATTAGATTGACTAGCTAAACACAAGATTGCACTGGGTGTGGCAGCTAGACTTGAATATCTTCACAAAGTCACAACCCATGCATTATCTATAGAGATGTAAAACCTGCAAATGTGCTTTTGAATGATGATATGGAAGCTAAAATCGCTGATTTTGAGCTCACAAAGCAAATGCCTAATGCTCAAACACATAACACAACTTCAAATTTGGCCAGAATCGTGGGTTACATAGCTCCAAAGTATCACCAGACATGAAAATTCATTGACAAGTGTGACATATATAGTTTTGGGGTGTGACTGGCAGTGTTGGGAAAATTTATTCAGTCATTAAATTTCATTAATAAATTTTCAATATCAATTACACTTGTTGTACCGTTTCCAGGTGGCCTATTTGTTTATATTGGATAAGGGTCAGCACCGGATTAACCCAAACGACGTGTGAAGTGGAAACTGCCAAAGA